TTTTTTGAGACAGAGTCTTGCTCTATTGCCCAGGCTGGAGTGAGGTGGTGCAATCTCAGCTCACTGCAACCTCCGCCTCCTGGGTTCAAGTGATTCTCCTGCCTCAACCTCCCTAGTAGCTGGGATCACAGGTGTGTGCCGCCACACCTGGCTAATTTTTGTATTTTTAGTAGAGCTGGGGTTTCACCATGTTGGCCAGGCTGGTCTTGAACTCCTGACCTCTGGTGATCCTCCGGCCTCGGCCTCCCAAGGTTCTGGGATTACAGACGTCAGCTACTTCGCCCTGCCTCGATCTTTTTTTTTCTTTTTGCCACAGGGTCTCGCTGTGTTGCCCAGCTGGGTGCAGTGGCTGTTCACAGATGTGATCCCAGATCAGATCAGCATGGGAGTTTTGCCCTGGTTGGTTTCTGACTTGGATGGGTTCATCCCTCCTTAGGCAACCTGGTGGTCCTGCCAGTCCAGGGAGGTCACCACATTGATGTGAACCCTGGATCAGCAAAGCTCAGTACAGCCCAGAACTCACAGGCTCAAGCAGTCCTCCCGCCTCAGCCTCACGAGTAGCTGGGACCACAGGTGTGTGTGCCACCGCACCCAGCTAATTTTTGTATTTGTAGAGATGGGGTCTGGTTTTGTTGCCTCGGCTGGTCTTGAACTCCTGGCCTCAAGCAATCCTCTTGCCTCAGCCTCCAAAAGTGCTGGGACTACAGGTGTGCAACACGGTGCCCGGCCGGCTGCAATTCTTAGTGGCAACGTAGGCCGGACGCGGTGGCTCACGCCCGTAATCCCAGCACTTTCGAAGGCCGAGGTGGGCAGATCGCCTGAGGTCAGGAGTTCGTGACCAGCATGGCCACTATCATGAAATCCTCATCTCTACTCAAAATACACAATTAGCCAAGTGCGGGGGCCCATGCCTATAATCCCACTACTCAAGAGGCTTTGGCAGGAGAATCGCTTGAACCCGGGAGGCGGAGGTTGCAGTGAGCCGGTATCTCGCCATTGCACTCCAGCCTGGGCGACAGAGTGACGGAGCGAGACTCTGTCTCAAAACAAACAAACAAAAACAAACACCTTATGTCTGACCCCCTGCCGGTGGAACGGAGCTCCAGCAGGAAGCACTCACTGTTGGACTGGCTGGCCCTCCCCGCCCTGGCTTCCAGTCACAGGCTCTGTCCCTGCGTCCCTGCAGTACACATTCTTCCCCTGTGGCTGGTATTTGAGGCCTGAGGCCCAGCATGACCTGGTCAGCCTCACGTCCCCCTAGCGCCCCCTAGCAACGTACCTAGGAGCCCTCAGCTTTGCAGGAGCACCTCCCTGCCCTCTCTGAGTGCCAGGCCTTTCTGCTGCCTGGCACAGTGATGCCATGCTGGGAATGGGAGACAGACAGATGGGGTGGGGGCTGGCCAGGGCGGCTCACTCCTGTGACCCCAGAACTTCGGGAGGCCGGGGCCTAGGCAACAAAGCAAGACCCTGTCTGAACAAACTTTTTTTTTTTTGAGATGGAGTTTCACACTTCTTGCCCTGGCTGGAGTGCAATGGCGCGATCTCGGCTCACCACAACCTCCGCCTCCTGGGTTCAGGCAATTCTCCTGCCTCAGCCTCCTGAGTAGCTGGGATTACAGGCACGCGCCACCATGCCCAGCTAATTTTTTTGTATTTTTAG